TAATTTAGTGATGTAAGTCTTAACTGTCGGGCAATGTGTCAAACACCTGTCAATCTCATTATAGAACGACTTCTACCGAATCGTTCATACAATGTCGGGGTTGGGTTTTTGATGGCTGTTTTCATTGAGAATATGTTGCCTATTGTCTAAAAAGACTTACTGTACATGCGTTTTTTTTCAATCTAACTGTTTTGCTGCTAAATCAGTTTAGGAGAAAAGAAATGATTGTAATGAGAAAAACGAAAATTCGAAGGAAATAGTGCATGCAACTTCCTTGTACTACACATGCTGTAACAAAATTTGGATATCTTCAACTACTAAACCCCCCCCCCCCCCCCCCCCCTATGATACCTAGTAACGATTCTCCCCCTTTGGCAAAAGGCGGTACAAATTAAATGCTCTTTAATTTGAACTAGATTCAAGAGGGGTTGTTACAGAAAAAAGTTATATTTATATTTAATAAATCAACCTTTATTTTCCAAACAACTTCGGTTAGATAAAGCGTTAGTTGTTCAATTTCAATGCCTTCATAAACCACGAACATCTCTAAAAAAGCAAAAAACCAAATTGCTTGCTCGTTTAACTTTGATGAGGTGATAATACAAAGACGTTTTTCTTGAACAGTTTTTTCTTTTTTTCTTTTTTGTTCTCAAACTGTGCGTTTTGAAAGAGCCGTTTAAGCGGGCAATTTGAAATAATTGTCTAGGGTTGGCTATGGCCTTAAATAGAATAAATAATCTGATGGAGGCTGTTTTATATTTTTAATAATCAAACCAAAATTAGATAACTTATTTGAAAATGCTGGCCGCCGAGATGTGCGAAAAATAAAGAAAAACTGCCTCGCTCCTGATTCAGACCTTTAGAGCGTAAAAAAAGTTTAAAGTAATTAACTAATGAAAAAGCCGAATACTTAAAAGCTCATAATGTTCGGAAAAAATTACGTTTTAGAGCGATATTTTCGAATGACAGCTAGATATTTTTATTAATATTTTTCGTGTAATCTTTGAAATTACTACAAAATCCACTGCCTTTTTGCAGGCAATTAAACTAGGTAAAAACTGCCAGAATGAGATTATATAATTTCTTAATGACATAAAAGAATGAATTATAACTAGTTGGGCTCAAAATCAGTATCCTCAAATTGGTTTGAAAATGAAAAAATCAGACCAATTTTTTCAGCACTGGTACAGCTTTCTGATCCGACTTGGAATCCGCACACGGCTGAAAGGGTTTTATTAACATGCCACAATTGATGTCGTACCGCGACAACTCGCAACAAACGACTTTTATTGCGAGTTGTCTTTTGTTGCGAAATGTCCTATTTCGACTTGATATAGTCGAAACGTGATAAAAACACTATAGATCTTTCTTACTTCGTGAAGTGGTCGGAACAAAAAGGTAGCAAATACACGAAACTTTAGACGATCTGAAGTTTGACCTCACAAGCTAAGTGCGCAGCACTTTTATCCTACCCACAAATGATAAAATGCTCGATCATTTTTTAAAGTGAGCTTCCTATAGACATGGGCTTTACAACAAGCATAATTCGTTGTTCATCGCCTTTTGCATCTTGTTTTCGAATCAAAATTCTTTCGAGTAATTGCCGCTAATATCTGAATACAAAATTGGACTCTTCTGCTATTTCCCTCAACAGAGGTGAACATCAACTAAACAAATAGTAAACATAATTTTACGAGGCTGAGGATGAAGACTAAACATTCTTGTAATTGGGTCACATGTCGCTTTTTTAGACAACTTGACAGCGTGCACAAAAGTTGAAAATACATAAAAATTCAGATGGAGGCAAAAAGGTAGCAGAACCCAAGATGCATTTTAACTTTTCAACCACCTCGTCTCAGTGTTCGGACTTTTTAAAAATATATATTGACAAGGAATATAAAAATTTTGGATCCAAAATGTACACCAATTTTGAAGAAATTGAAAATTTACGCGGAATCTGAAAATTTTGGCGTCATTAAACACTGATTTTGGCGGCTAGCAATAAAAATCCAAATCTTGAAGGAGTTGATTTTATGGTGTGTTCACAAGAGGAAAAATACTATTTATTCAAAACATATTTATGAACAAGTTATGAACAAGTTGTTACTTTTTAGTCTTTGATTATGTCAAACCGTTTGTTTTGTTGCTGTTTTTTTTCTGAATTATGACTGACGTTTTGCTTTCCATAGAAATTATTCCAACTTGGATTTGAGGCTAAATGTATCGGCAATCACGTACGTTAAATTCTCGTTAAAAATAGATCTTTCACTGAAGTTCAATCATTATTTTTCAAGGCTTTTAAATCAGAGAAATGGTATCAAATAATGCAATGAAACAAGAACGAAGACTACCGTTACACACAATCAAAGAGGCTGTGATACGTGTTAAAAAAGCTGAATTCATTAAGAAAAGATATTGGTAAGATTTTCTCTCGATGGCGGGTAAAAGCAGTGGCAATTTGTACATAACTATCTTCGAGAATCATTTTAAATAATAATTACAGTTAGTTTTTTTTAAAAGCGTCAAGGAAAAACACCATCTCTTTGTTGAAAAAAAAATTGAATCAATGAAAAAAAACTAATTGTTGTTACTTTTGAATAAAATGTACCTTATGAACTTATATGCCAAATTATGTCTCAGCCAAAAACTGCAGTGATTAAACAAGAGGTGCACGATCCATTTTTCATGATCATATGAGAAAGAAGAAAAAACTGTGAACATTGATTTTCTACGATTGAAAATCAAATCCTCTGAAACAAGCATAAAATCAATTTCAATTTTACCAAATGGCTGGTCACTGTGCAAGTATTTCTGAAAATTTTGACATGTTGCGTTCAGGGATTGATTTAGAGGGACGATTACCCTCCAGCCTCAGGAATTTGACCCCCACCCACTATAAAGGTCCCCCTTTGGCATGGTTTTACGACAGCCATTTTCACCGGACCGACTTTAGAATTGTTCTAAAGGTGTCTTTGGCACCATTTTATGCTAACTTTGAATTGATTTACTTAATGAAAAAAAATTCATTAACACTATTTTACTCAGAAGGATTGCACACGAGCCCTGAGGATCATCGATGCGAAACCCTGGAAAAAGCTAAAACGCGAGAACCAATAACTAACAATTATGAAAAAAAAAGATTTCATGTAAACTGGAATTATCTATCAGATAACAGTTCCTAACTGTATACCTGTATTTATTAAATTTCCTGTCTTTAATTGTATTAAATTGTCAGGTAGGAGTTTGTTTGAGGATTAAAAATTAGAGAAGTTTTTATCCCCTGGCTGAACGACCTGTGCAGCCCATTTGTTCTTACTAGTAGTAACTTGACAATTTTTGATTTGCGAGCTTTTGTGCATCTCCTTTGTGAAAATTGTTCTTCGTTTGGAATACTGAGTTGGGATTTTTTAGGCAACTGATCAATAGTTTCTTTAAGTAATTGATCAAGAAAGATTTTGAAAATGGTTTCATTTTTCAATTCGTGAAAAATTGGCAGCGCGGTTTCGAACTTTCTTTTTAAAAGTATAGTTCCTAATATACGCTTTTGCATTAATTTTTTTTGTTGAACTCAATTTTTGTTTAACAGCCATATGCCAGTAAGAAATAACGGGCTTGGCATCATATTATAAAATCTCAAGAATAGTTTCCGAGAAAAAACCTTTCTTGCTTGATAAATAACCCAACAAAACGAGCTTTTTTTGCAAATAGTATCAAAATGCCAAAAAAAAAACAATTTAATGTCTATTACGACGCCCAATTAATTGAATTGACCTACATATTCCATTTTGTTTTTTCCGAGAGATACTTTGCATTTTTTTTGTTTTGCGAACAAAATTAGCTGCATGAATTTTTTTGTTTTAATTGTTATTTTATTGGCTTTGCATCATAAGCCTACATTTTCAACTTTTTCTTTGAACTTTTGTACTGGCCCTAAAGTACTCTAAAATTTCTTCTAAGAATTTCACTAAAAATTGCTCTAAAAATTGGCTCTAAAATTTATAACTGAATGGTTTGTTTTAGCTTTTAAGTTTAGTTTAGATTGACTAGTTGTTCCGACTTTCGAAGACAATGACTATATAATTGTGCTCGGCGCTACTTTTTTTTAGACAATTGTCGAAAGTTAAGCTAGCCATTTCTAACAAGCATACTTTTTCCGTTCCAAAAGTTCCAAAGTGGCCAATTAACGATAGTTGAAAAGCGATATGATTCACACTATTAAACACCAAACTGCAAAATTAAGTCATTCAATGCAAATTACAGTAGCTAACACGCTCTCTCGTATCACGGAAAATGCCCTTTAAGAATCTGCAGTAGTTTTTAAAAAATCGATAAAATTTCTTAAAATTTTTCCAAATTTTAATCATTTTTTTGCCAAATAGTCCACCCACACGATGCAATTTTCACCTAGCAACAATACAATTAGATCATATATGTTGCGTCAGTTCAATTTTTATTGATTTTTTTTGCCTTTATTCAAAATATCCCAACTTGGAAAGCTTCAAAGAACCAAAAATTGACAAAATGGTTTTTCGTAACTCTTCTCAGTTTTGAGCTTCGGGCATCAATTTTTTTTGATGGTGTAGATAACTCCGCCAAAAAAGAACACCTTAAGCATTAAAGTGAGCGAAATGAAAACATACGCCTCTAGAACTTGATAATATAAGAAATATATCAAAATTAAGAGTTTTTATGAACCTTATTCCTCCCAACCGTACCAATAAATTATTTGTTCCTATATAAAAGTTTATTTTAACTTTAATAAACATAAGAAATCTGCAAAAGGGGTAGTGGGAAAAGTGAGCAAGATATAAAAAAAGATATTTTCACTAATAGTTCTTTGAAAACTCGAAGGTTCTCATCAGTTTTTTGAAAAATTCCATTTCAAAAATGGGCAAACTGTCAAAAACAACAGATAGTCTGTCCTTGTAAAATTTTAGTTTTAACTTTTTTCCTTAAAAGTAAGTCGTTCGGAAAAATCAAATGGTTAAAAGCTATTTTACCCGTCAGCTGCCTGTCAACACCCCTACCCATGTGACCTATTGGGCCTTCCTCGTCCCCCATTCCCAGGTGGTCCGACCTCATTCGGTCTCCCAGTGCACTACTCGGTCTCTCGTCTCTCTCCTGGTCCATTAGAGTCCACTCGCTCGAAGTCGGATTTGAAAAGGACAGTTGGGCAAAAAACGCCGCCGCGCAAATTGCAATGCACAGAATTTTCAACATTTTTATGTCCAATGTCTTAGATTTTTATTTCTATTTTTCTCTAATTGTTTTTTTTTGCAAAACTGTTTCAAATTAAAAAGGAATTAAGGAAACGGATTTGGAAAATTTGAGTTGAGTTTTGGTCCAGATTTTGTTCGGACAATTGAATGGAATAAATCGAATGGGGAAACTGAAGCTACTCAGGTAAGCCTAATTTTTCTGGTGCGGATTTGAAATTGATTGGCCTGACGTTTGTTTCCTTCTTTTAAAATCAGAGATTTTAATTGGACTAGACCTGCTGATTTTATTCTGAAATTATTGACAATTGAATAACCTGTAAAAGGATGGTGTGAGATTATTGCATGAAAATCAGTTGCGAGATTTTCTTTTTATGCACATTATAAGGCGGTGAGATTGTTGGGTAATCTTTTTTTTTGGATAGAAAACTGCTAATTTGAAGGCACCTTCAACTGACTACCGATCTTGAAATGTTTTCAGAAATTTAGAAAGAATGAAACAAGGGGAAATTGCGAGCTGAGATCTAATGATTTTTTGTTTGAACTTTTGCTAATTATTCAAAAACAGAAATCTTTCCAAATTTAATTTAGTAATTGATCATGTTCAAACGTTGTTTGAATATAAAAAATGATTAATTGAATATGAATCAAACATTTAGGACAAAACTTAACAAAATTGCTCTAAGACTTGGAAAATTTACATCGAAAACTGCGCCATAAGTATTTTTATTTTGGTAAATATGTAATTAAGCGCTCCGTACAATTCGCTACACAAGGCATGTCAACCTGAATGACAAATTTAAGTTTTTAAATTTTATATTTTATATTGATTTAAAAACACGAAAGTTTGATTAAAATTTTTTCGGTTCCGTTTTTTTATCGAAGCAGACCAGAAACGCTCATTTTAATGGCAACTTACCGCCATAAACTTTGTGTCGGCATTTTACACAATAAAAACCATGTCAAAACGATCACAAAAACAACTAAATTATTTGAAGTCCGCAACCAATTGTAGCCGAAAAATCAAGCGGAACCTTCTAGCAATCAAGGCAGGTCAAAATTACTTTTGAACCAAAGAAAGTACAAAACAAACTTTTCAGAATAACTAAGATTTTAGATGTCTACGCTTCGCTAAGAGTGTTCTTTAGCACTAGACTGAAAAGCTGCTAACTTGATGAAAATAATCTGATGTTTTTTCGAGTGCTACTTTCTTTTGTTAACACCCTCCACTACTAAAGGGGCAAGGGCCCGAGAAGTTTATAAAAACCAGACCTGTTGGGTTACCGAAAGAGGAACAAAAACTTGCGGGGCCTTCAACGCTGTCCTTAGATTAGTTAGAAGGATATGCGCCAGAAAATATAAGCCATTTGAGCTGTTTGACCCAGCTCACCAAAACTGATAGGCAGTTTGGAGCTCATTCACGCGTAAAGAGCAACATTTGCTACGTTTATTGAGAAAAGAGACACTATCTCAGCCAACATGACTAAAAGCCACTGACGTTCAACTCCTCAGCCAACAGATTCTCAATACGGATAATCGCTTTATTAAAGCGAGGAACGAAAACGGTCGGAGCGGACGACGCTTCCTTTCTATATCTGTTGAAAAGATCACATGCACTCAAAAAACCAGTAATTTTTTGACCAAATTCCCGAAAAAAAAGCCAGTCGGGAGCTCACACTCGCGCAAAGAGCAAAACTTGGTGCATTTATTGAAAGAAAGAACATTGTATTTCAGCCAACTTGACTAAAAGCCACTGACGTTCAACTCCTCATCAGCAGTTCATCAAAGCCAACAGACTCTCAATACGGATAATCGCTTTATTAAAGCGAGGAACGAAAACGATCGGAGCGGACGACGCTTCCTTACTGTATTTGTTGAAAAGATCACATGCACTCAAAAAACCAGTGATTTTTTGACCAAATTCCCGAAAAATAAAGCCAGTCGGGAGCTCACACTCGCGCAAATAGCAAAACTTGGTGCATTTATTGAAAGAAAGAACATTGTATTTCAGCCAACTTGACTAAAAGCCACTGACGTTCAACTCCTCATCAGCAGTTCATCAAAGCCAACAGACTCTCAATACGGATAATCGCTTTATTAAAGCGAGGAACGAAAACGGTCGGAGCGGACGACGCTTCCTTTCTATATTTGTTAAAAAGATCACATGCACTCAAAAAACCAGTGATTTTTTTACCAAATTCCAAAAAAAAAGCGAATCGGGAGCTCACACTCGCGCAAAGAGCAAAACTTGGTGCATTTATTGAAAGAAAGAACATTCTATTTCGGCCAACTTGACTAAAAGCCACTGACGTTCAACTCCTCATCAGCAGTTCATCAAAGCCAACAGATTTTCATTACGGATAATCGCTTTATTAAAGCGAGGAACGAAAACAGTCGGAGCGGACGACGTTTCCTTTCTATATTTGTTGAAAAGATCACATGCACTCAAAAAAACCAGTGATTTTTTGACCAAATTCCCGAAAAAAAAAGCCAGTCGGGAGCTCACACTCGCGCAAAGAGCAAAACTTGGTGCAGTTATTGAAAGAAAGAACATTCTATTTCAGCCAACTTGACTAAAAGCCACTGACGTTCAACTCCTCATCAGCAGTTCATCAAAGCCAACAGATTCTCAATACGGATAATCGCTTTATTAAAGCGAGGAACGAAAACGGTCGGAGTGGACGACGCTTCCTTTCTATATTTGTTGAAAAGATCACATGCACTCAAAAACCCAGTGATTTTTTGACCAAATTCCCGAAAAAAAAGCCAGTCTGGAGCTCACACTCGCGCAAAGAGCAAAACTTGGTGCAGTTATTGAAAGAAAGAACATTCTATTTCAGCCAACTTGACTAAAAACCACTGACGTTCAACTCCTCATCAGCAGTTCATCAAAGCCAACAGATTCTCAATACGGATAATCGCTTTTTTAAAGCGAGGAACGAAAACAGTCGGAGCGGACGACGTTTCCTTTCTATATTTGTTGAAAAGATCACATGCACTCAAAAAACCAGTGATTTTTTGACCAAATTCCCGAAAAAAAAGCCAGTCTGGAGCTCACACTCGCGCAAAGAGCAAAACTTGGTGCAGTTATTGAAAGAAAGAACATTCTATTTCAGCCAACTTGACTAAAAACCACTGACGTTCAACTCCTCATCAGCAGTTCATCAAAGCCAACAGATTCTCAATACGGATAATCGCTTTATTAAAGCGAGGAACGAAAACAGTCGGAGCGGACGACGTTTCCTTTCTATATTTGTTGAAAAGATCACATGCACTCAAAAAACCAGTGATTTTTTGACCAAATTCCCGAAAAATAAAGCCATTCGGGAGCTCACACTCGCGCAAAGAGCAAAACTTGGTGCATGTATTGAAAGAAAGAACATTCTATTTCAGCCAACTTGACTAAAAGCCACTGACGTTCAACTCCTCAACAGCAGTTCATCAAAGCCAACAGATTCTCAATACGGATAATCGCTTTATTAAAGCGAGGAACGAAAACGGTCAGAGCGGACGAGGCTTCCTTTCTATATTTGTTAAAAAGATCACATGCACTCAAAAACCAGTAAATTATTGACAAAATTTCCGAAAAATAAAGCCAGTCGGGAGCTCACGCTCGCGCAAAGAGCAAAACTTGTTGCATTTATTGAAAGAAAGAACATTCTATTTCAGCCAACTTGACTAAAAGCCACTGACGTTCAACTCCTCAACAGCAGTTCATCAAAGCCAACAGATTCTCAATACGGATAATCGCTTTATTAAAGCGAGGAACGAAAACGGTCGGAGTGGACGACGCTTCCTTTCTATATTTGTTGAAAAGATCACATGCACTCAAAAAACCAGTGATTTTTTGACCAAATTCCCGAAAAAAAAGCCAGTCTGGAGCTCACACTCGCGCAAAGAGCAAAACTTGGTGCAGTTATTGAAAGAAAGAACATTCTATTTCAGCCAACTTGACTAAAAACCACTGACGTTCAACTCCTCATCAGCAGTTCATCAAAGCCAACAGATTCTCAATACGGATAATCGCTTCATTAAAGCGAGGAACGAAAACAGTCGGAGCGGACGACGTTTCCTTTCTATATTTGTTGAAAAGATCACATGCACTCAAAAAACCAGTGATTTTTTGACCAAATTCCCGAAAAATAAAGCCATTCGGGAGCTCACACTCGCGCAAAGAGCAAAACTTGGTGCATGTATTGAAAGAAAGAACATTCTATTTCAGCCAACTTGACTAAAAGCCACTGACGTTCAACTCCTCAACAGCAGTTCATCAAAGCCAACAGATTCTCAATACGGATAATCGCTTTATTAAAGCGAGGAACGAAAACGGTCAGAGCGGACGACGCTTCCTTTCTATATTTGTTAAAAAGATCACATGCACTCAAAAACCAGTAAATTTTTGACAAAATTTCCGAAAAATAAAGCCAGTCGGGAGCTCACGCTCGCGCAAAGAGCAAAACTTGATGCATTTATTGAAAGAAAGAACATTCTATTTCAGCCAACTTGACTAAAAGCCACTGACGTTCAACTCCTCATCAGCAGTTCATCAAAGCCAACAGATTCTCAATACGGATAATCGCTTTATTAAAGCGAGGAACGAAAACGGTCGGAGTGGACGACGCTTCCTTTCTATATTTGTTGAAAAGATCACATGCACTCAAAAAACCAGTGATTTTTTGACCAAATTCCCGAAAAATAAAGCCATTCGGGAGCTCACACTCGCGCAAAGAGCAAAACTTGGTGCAGTTATTGAGAGAAAGAACATTCTATTTCAGCCAACTTGACTAAAAGCCACTGACGTTCAACTCCTCAACAGCAGTTCATCAAAGCCAACAGATTCTCAATACGGATAATCGCTTTATTAAAGCGAGGAACGAAAACGGTCAGAGCGGACGACGCTTCCTTTCTATATTTGTTAAAAAGATCACATGCACTCAAAAACCAGTAAATTTTTGACAAAATTTCCGAAAAATAAAGCCAGTCGGGAGCTCACGCTCGCGCAAAGAGCAAAACTTGATGCATTTATTGAAAGAAAGAACATTCTATTTCAGCCAACTTGACTAAAAGCCACTGACGTTCAACTCCTCATCAGCAGTTCATCAAAGCCAACAGATTCTCAATACGGATAATCGCTTTATTAAAGCGAGGAACGAAAACGGTCGGAGTGGACGACGCTTCCTTTCTATATTTGTTGAAAAGATCACATGCACTCAAAAAACCAGTGATTTTTTGACCAAATTCCCGAAAAATAAAGCCATTCGGGAGCTCACA